TATATATATATATATATACACACACATATTCACACACACGCTCCTGCACTCAAAATGCATCACAATGTATCCCTATGTGTTTTATGGGCTACAGTTCTCACGTGCGCAGTCCGTTCAGCTTACGACAGAAAAATACTGCATGTCACATTTTGTACAGTCAGGAAACGCAAACGTGTCAAAAACGCACTGCAGTGCAGCTAACATACTAACAGCCCCACTCCAGCTTTTTTTTACTGGAACGCATCAAAACGCGGCCAAAACGCACTGCATCAGTAGCACCGCGTCTACAGATCCAGACCTGATCAGGACCTGAAACTCATGTGAACAGGCCCTTAGTGTTTCCATATTTCTATATATTTACATGATATTATTATGAAATCCACCTTGCTCTTACCTACTGAGCCGTTTAGAAACCAGTATGGATCCACTTCAAAACGTGGGGATCAATTGTCACTCACCTCCCAGATCAGATGCGGTGGGACCAGAGCTGATATCTGTCCATATTTCAAATCTGTCAAAAGATACATATTTATACTAACCACTGACAGGTGTATAACTGAGGAAGAATTTGAAAGGGAAGCTAAGTCCTTACAGGAAAGATTACAAGAAAGAGGATACAGTAAAAAGATTTTGAGAAAGGCTTATCAACGGGCAAAAGGTCAGAGCAAACGGGCGTTATTGTATAAGAAATAAAATTTTAATAAAAATAAAGAAATAAAATTTGAAGGGAGCGCCAACCAAACCACAAAGATGGTAACTAGGTTCTCCCGTCAACATATGGCAGTGAGAAAAATATTAGAGAAGCATTGGCACCTACTTACTAGTGATAATAACGTAATAAAGATAAACCAAAACTAGTTTTCAGAAAAACAAAATCACTACGTGATACTATGACACATTGCTTTGTTCAATAAACTCTGTTTATTGAACATTTGAAAAATGTACAGGATTGAAACAAAGCTTACATGACATTGTACACTTACAGTGTGAAGGTGTGTAAATGAACAGCAATAAACAAAAGTAAACCTAACGGTTAAACCATTGTCTACCCTAATTGCCACTCTACTACAATGAGTATGTGATATTCACAATAAGAAGATAAAATGCATTGGCAGCTGAGTGACAAAAATCAGTACAGGCATGACTACTTAACAGCAAAAGTAATGGTGAGGGTAGATTGGCGCCATGCATCCCAAATCTTCTGAAATTTTAGTGGGCAATCCCTTTTTTTTATAGAATATCTCAGATAATCTTTTCATATGGAATGTTTTTTTTTTTTACCAAAGAAACCTGTTACATAGTTAGTCAGGTTGAAAAAAGACACATGTCCATCGAGTTCAACCTGTTGTGCTAGCATTGGTGAGGAGGGTCGCATTCATTTTAGACCAATTGCCTTTCATGCCAAAAAAAAAATAAAAAATTTGCAAAAATAAATCCTTGTGTAAAGGGTTCTGTTTCCTCATCAAGGATGCCACAGATGCATATTTCAGTGGTGCACCACACTGGGATTGATTACTACCAAAGATAACATATCAACATCAAAAAGAGGAGATAACTTTGGCATGTCCACAATAAGTGAACAAAGTCAGCCTGAGATTGTTTACGTCTTGGACAGTTGGTATTATTTAATCGACCCATTTTGAATAAACGAGCTGGGAATAAATAAGAAGAAAAAAGAAGAGCTTAAGTAACTTGCTGGTTTCACAGAATTATTTAGTGTTTTGGTTGGATTTAGTTTGATGGCACCATAATGATTTTTGACCTGTAAAAACTATTTATTTTGCAGCAAAGAAGGATATACCTCCATCGGCAATTACAAGGCCTATATGTGGTATTTTAGGTACAATTCGACTAGTTGCCGGTAAGTTGCTGATATATCTTTACCAATGTCATTTTGCATTGCATGAAACCAGTGGTGATTTGTGTATGACTACTGGAGCAAAAGAAAAGCTGGTCAGATTTCATTTGAAAGGTGAAAACTGGTTACTTTGGACAGTAGCTCTGCTTTTGATCCAGTTTTTGTTGCTTTTTTTATTATCCATTATTAAAAAAACATCATTAAATGTAGTTGTATACCCTTTAAAGGCAAAATCCACCTTTTAAAATAAATAAATAAATGCACACTTCTTCAAAAAAGAAAAATGTGCATTTTTTTTTTATTTTTTTAGCGTTGGTGCTAATAAAGCATAGCAACCACGATCAGTAGATTATGGGTGCACACTCTTCCATCTGTCCACGTCAATACCAAGGTACGCACATTCAGTAACAGGGAGGGGAGGAAGTGTCGGAGGACTACTAGTGTGGTGACAGCACTGCAGTTGTATTCCATTGAGAACTATAATTTCCTCTGCCCTGGTGGCAGATGGGACTATTTTGTTTCATTCAACCCGCCAAAGGATCTTCAGCATATGGGTTTTATATTGCCACCTGCAGGAGCAGAACGCTAGGCAAAAGAACAAAGAAGCTGCCTAGCGGTGGTCCCTGCTGGTGGTCAACCCTCCCGACTGCAACAATCAACCCAGCTTTTTTGCCTAGCGTTCAGGAGTTAGGACCTAGGAAACTTCTGTCCTCCTTTTTTCTCTTAGATAGGGCTTTTTATTTGTTTTGCTGCTCCTGATCTTCAATCAAGCTGCCACCTGGGTGACAGGCCAGATATATAGATCCTAGCAGTCTCCCCAGGTGGTCCTATGAGCTCACGCAGTTCTGCGCTATGGCGAGATCGGCTTGGGCTAGATCAGCTGTGATGGCTCCAGCCTCATGGAGCGGCCCAGAGGATGGCCTTCTCCAGGCATAGGTATGACCGATCGCCTGAGGGTCGGTCACGGTACTGCCTTTTGAGCAAGCAGTGCCCGGGCTGCAGTCAGAGGTGTCCTGCTATAGACTGAGGGGGTTCCTGTCCTGTTTCTCTAGGTAAATATGTAAGGAGGCATGAGGTTCTTGGTGCCTCGCTCCTTTTTAGGCCTGTTTTTTGTTTGTGTGCCTTTTGGCTCCCTTAGCCTAGGGTCACTGAATGTCTCTCTGCTAGACCCCTTCTGCCTTTTATTCACTGTGGGCTGGAGGGGCCAGGGGTATTGGGCGCTGTGATCTGCCTTACTGTGCTGTGTGAGGCTATGTATTGTGGCTACTTTCTGGGGGAGTGGGAGGTGCTGGCACAGGCTCACAAGTGGATGGGGTGTTACTACTGTGATGGCCGCGGCCTCTCCATACTCTGCCTCACTGGGAGCGGGACGACACTCAGTGACAGGCAAGCTGGCTGGCGGGCACAGGAATTGTCCCCCCCAGTTTTGCTGTGTGTGGGCAGTGCTATGCGGCCGCCATTTTTACTAGATGCACTTGCCCTCACTCGGCGCCCTCACAGTGGCACGGCACTATGGGGGGTGAACCTGCAACACGAGCAGGGAGACCGCCCCTTTTCTATGCTGGTGCGACCTTAGCTGTGTGTGCTGCTCCTCTTTGCTTGTATTCCAGGTGATCTGTTCCTATGGGAGTCCCTGTGGCCTGGGTGTGGTAAGTCCTTGTGGGGATCCCTACTGAGTGCACACTTGACTGTGCTGTAGGTGTCCAGATAGCGGACACAGGTAAGCCTGCTCGTCACGTGGCTAACGATACTGGGGATGGGTCCCATTTGCTTTCTTGCTCTAATTGTGGGCTTTTTGATTTTGCCACTTTGACTGAGACGCTCTGCCCTTCTCGCAAGTCCTCCCATGCGCTGCAGACCGCATCTGCACCCACGGCCCCGCTGTGTGAAACGTCAGGTGTCTGCAGACCCCCCTTGACCTTTGACTTCTTCCATTCGGTTATAGATGGCTTTGTCTCCCGTATTGAGAAAGCCCTCTTGCTGAGGCCTTCTTCAGGAGCGCCCTTCCTCCTACGAGGTTTCTGATGAGGAATCGTTGGCAGGTGACCCTGTTCCTTCAGTTAGGGTAGAACCAGATCTAGCTTCCTCTGGTAGTAAGGAAGAAGTGGCGGCGGCTAAGCTGGCGCAGGAAAAAGAGCTAGTGTCGGATCTCTTCAAGGCTGTCAGGGATACGCTTAAGATTGAGGATGTCGCAGTGTCTCCAAGGATTCTGGGATGTTATTTGGCACCCACAAGCGTAAGTGAACTTCTAGGGTCTTCCCATATGATCCTTTCTCTGATGACTTTATTTATAAGGATTGGTCGGCCTTTAACGTTGCCTAGGCATTTTGTAGTGCGTTATCCGTTTTGAGGAAGGGTTCGTGAAAAAAAAAGAGTCTTTCCCCCAGTGGTGGACCCACCCATTCCCAGCTGAATAAGGCCACAGTTATTCCTGTCGAGTAATTCCCATCTTTTAGGGACCTTTCATACTGGAAGGTGGAGGGTGTCTCACGTTCTATGTACTCCGTTGTTGAAGCTCTGCTTAGGCTGATCTTGGCTTCAGCCATGCAGGCTTTGACTAAATGGGCTGAAATGTTGCTTCAGGGGTTAGTTGCCGAGCAAGTCCCCCCAGTGTATGTTGAGTTAGCTGACCAGTCCTGCGATGTGGCATTAGACTCTGGGTAATTGGTGTCTCGTCTTTCCGTCTCTGCGGTGATTCTTCATCGCATCTTGTGGCTCAAGTGTTGGTCGCGGACCAGACAGTCAAGAAAGCCTTAACTGAAATGCCCTTGTGAGTGGGTGAGAGCTTGTTTGGTGCATCGCTGGGTGAGCTGATCAAGAATTTCACAGGTGGTTAGAGTACTTTTCTTCAACGAGAATCTCGTCGCAAATCTGGTCCTTCCTTCTTTGCCCATAACCGCCTTTTTCACGGCCACGGGACCTCCGACAAGAACAAGTCGGTCAAGCCTTCTTGTGGGAGTGGGGCTTAGTGCTAGTGGCAACAAAAGCCCTCTAAGCCCCCTGATAAGTCCTCCTCGGCATGAAAGTGTGCCCCCACCCGGGAAGCCTAAGGTGTGGGGACATCCGCTCCTGTATGCGGAATGCTGGCTGACTGTGATTGTGGACAAGTGGGCCCAGGAAGTGGCTTTTTCCAGATACAGGATTGAATTTCTATCTCGTCCCCCAGATTGTTTTTTTGTCTCCAATCTGCTGCTTTCTCCACAGTGGCTGGCATACCTACACGCTGCTGTCCAGGTCCTGCTCAAGCAGGGGGTGATTGTTCCCATGCCCTCCTTCGAAAGGTTCACAGGTTTTTATTCCAATCTATTCACGGTTCCCAAAAAGAAGGAGATTTGTCCTATGCTGGATCTTAAGGCCCTGAATGCCCCTGTGAAGGTGCGCAAGTTTCGGATGGAGTGGCTTCGTTACATATGGTGGCATTTCTGGCCTCAATCGACATCAAAGATCCCTATCTTCATGTGCCCATCTATCGGACTCACCAGCTCTTTCTCTGATTTGCAGCGGAGGACCTTCATTTCCAGCTTGTGGCACTCCCTTTCGGGCTGGCATCGGCTCATCGGGTGTTTACCTGGTGCCTGTGCTCGCTCTGTTACAACTGCAAGGGATCCCGATTGTTGAGTGGACCTGCTTCTCCGTGCAACGGACATGTTGGTCGCGATTTAAACTCTGAAGGAGTTTGGGTGGATCTCGACTCTTTAGAAGTTATCATTGGTCCCTTCACCTCATTTGGAGTATCTGGGTCTTATTCTTGACCCTGGAGTTTGCTGCGGGAGAAGCTTCAGTTCCAAGTTTGTCAGTTGTGCGATTAACGGAGGTCCTCCCTTCGCTCAGCTTTAGGGTTCTGCGTCTGATGGTGGCCTCTTTTGCCCAGCATCACACCCAGATTTTACTCAGAAGTCTTTTGGGGAGATTCCCCTGTTGGATTTATCTAAGAAGGTAGCCTTTTTGGTGGCCATCACATCGGCTCGTCATGTGTCCGACTTGGCTGTGTTGTCTTATAAACCTCTATTCCTGGTCCTTCATCGGGACAAAGTGGTGCTTTGACCTCGGCCATCTTTCCTGCCTAAAGTGGTTTCCTCCTTTTATTTAAATGAGAATATTGTTTTGCCATCTTTATGCCCTGAACCGCCTCATCCGAAGGATGTGGCTCTTCATACCTTGCATGTGGTCCGGGCTATTCGGGTCTCCCTGGCAGTTACATCTTCTTTTTGGCAGACAGATTCTTTGTTTGTGGTGCCGGATAGTCTCAGGAAAGGACAGGCCGCCCCCCATCAGCCACAATATCTAGGTGGATTCGTCAGACTGTGGTTCAGGCGCATATTCTCAAGAGTCGGAGACCTCAGTTTTGGGTCACTGCTCATTCTACTAGGGCTTTGAGTGTTTCCTGGGCTTTTCATCCCAGGCTTCTGTTGTCCAAGTGTGCCAAGCCACTACGTGGTCTTCTGTTCATACCTTCTCTTAAGTTTTACAAAGTGGATGTTGCGGATGCTAGTTTTGGCCATAAGGTCTTTCAGGCAGTGGTGTGAGCATCTTTTTAACTGTGGGTATGCTATGTTTTTTTTGTTTTTGCCCACCTTTTATTGCACTGCTTTGGGACGTCCCCATATGGTTAGGATCCTAAAGGATCCAGCTGTGTCCTTCAGTGAATGGAAGAGAAAATAGGATTTTTGTACTCTACGTAAAGTCCTTTTCTCTGCGTCCATTGAAGCACACAGCACCCACCCATATATGATTTTGCTGTGTTGCCGTTTTGTTCTGTTTGCTAATAACTGGGTTGATTGTTGCAGTCTGGGGGTTTGACCAACAGCAGGGACCGCCCCTGGGCTGCTTCTTTGTTCTTGCTCCTGCAAGTGGCAATATAAAACTCATATGGTGAAGATCCTAAAGCAGGGGTCTCACTTGGGGGCCTCTCGACAAATGTATTTCTCCCATGGGGGCCGCTTGCCAAATATCATACTTCATAATTAAAGTTAACTATATCTGGTATGGTACTACGGGCACCAATACACACACAATAGGGCCCTATTCACATCTGTAAGTTTAGGTGTGGTTAGGGATTCCTGCATCAGGAACTTGCGTTTTTTTTTGCAGCAGGAATCCCTAATCTGGCATTTACAAGCGGCAGCTGTCACCCATTCAAGTTAATCAGGTAAGGTAACAGCCGCTGCATGTAAACGCCTGCACAACGCATGTAATGGCATGTGATATGATGCGGTTAGAAAACACTCTCCCTGGATGCACAATTGATGTGTCCAGGGAGAGTGATTGATTCCTAACCAAAAGTAGTCTTATCACATACCATTACATGCGGAGTGCAGGTGTTTACATGCAGCAGCTGTTGTAGAAAAATGTCACCAGCATGACAAACACGTCAATTTTAGTGAATCTTCATCTTTTATTGTCAGAAGTCATTCAAAGTGAAATCAAGCGCTTTCGGGGCCTGCGCAGGGTCCCCTTAATCAGGCTTAAAATTGACGTGTTTGTCATGCTGGTGTGCTGGTGACATTTTGCTACAACAGACTTTGCTTGATGCGGCACCATCCGTAGTCACTGCGAGCACCCACTTTTGCTTATGGGAGTTGCGGTAAGGTGTGCTATAGGACCTTGGACACCTACATGCACCAGCTGTCACCTGACCATTAACTTGAATGGGTGACAGCTGTCACTTGTAAACGCCAGATTAGGCATTCCTGCTGCGGGAAAACACAAGTTCCTGACCCAGAAATCCCTAATTACACCTAAACTTACATGTGTGAATGGCCTAATA